ACCACACCAGCTGTGGTGTTTTTTTTTAAAAAAAGAATTATTTTATTAAATTTTATATATTTATTTATTATTTATCCATTCACTTATTTTAATTTGACCAGACAGGGACAGAGCGAGAGAGAGAGAGGGAAAGTGGGAAAGCAAGCCACTGGGTCCGGGACGTGAAACAACGTCGGCCATGTGAGAGTCCAGCACCTTAACCACCATGCCACCTGCTGGCCCCTGGTTCTAATTCTTAAAGGAAAAAGTTCCTCAGCCTTCCTTTGACCAGGTTTCTCTGTTGCAGTTCATTAAACATGTTAAACGTCATGAGTGATTATTCTGTTACCTATTTGCTGTATTGTGAGCTGAGTAGTTGAAATACACTTATCTTACAATGCTGGGGAAAAAAGAATGTAAAAATTAATTAAAAAAATTTTTTTTCGCAATAGAGTGCATATACTTGTCAGAGAGACGAGAGAGAGATATGACATGAGAAAGCACCTCCCGGGGAATGGTCCTTGCAGCAATCCTTCTCCTTCATGCCCCTCTCAGGATTCTGGGCACGCACATACATGCCTCTGGTGTGTTTTTCAAGCTGCTGGGTCTGGGACCGGAACTGCACAACTGGCTGCGTGGGATCTAGTTAGTCATCATGCCATCAGCTGGCCTAAGCCATGTTAAGATTCTTAAGAATTTTCTAAGGGCCATAAAAGTGATGAAGGATTTAAGACAGGGGAGTGACAGTACCACGTTCTTTAAAGTTTGTAGACGAAGGAATTTTAATTGTGGAAGTAATAGATGCATGTGTTAAAGATAACAGAAAGGGGCCGTGGAGGTGAAGGCCCTGAATCCCTCATGGCCAACTTCATGATCTGAGTCCTGGACTCAGGTGGCTTGAGGATCACGCTGTGTGTGTGTGTGTGTGTGTGTGTGTGTGTGTGTGTGCACCCAAACTCCTGAGAGGAGAGTGGAGAGGGGACTGTGGCAGGATCACCTCCTTTGGAGGTTCTTTCATGCTTTCCCTCTCTTTCTCTCTCTTTTTTTTTTTCTCTCTCCGCCTCTTTCTAGTAAGCACACATACCCTTTAGCAAATAAAACAAACAAATAAAAAACCCCAACCAACCAAGAATACCGAAGAGCTCTCTGCATTGCCACCCCTCATCCTGGGCTGCTTCCTAGAGAAAACCACTTTTAACTATTTCAACTGTTTCCCCCCCCTGGGTGGTTACCTTTGCCCCAGATGTGCATTGTCATCCACTGGGTTTTCCAGGAAACAACCAAGAGGGGATTTGTGTGCCAGTGGGTCATCGAGATGGCACAGGAACGTGTGCAAAGGACACAGGGAAGCAGGTGGGCAGAGAGATGGTGGACCACATCCGGGAGCAACAGAGGCCTCAGCCCACCCCACGGGGCGTTCTCGAGCTGCCAGGCCCTTCAGAGTTGTCCTGGCTTCAGGCAACTGTTTGGGAGCATCATCTTGCCTGGGGTGTGAGCTGTTCCCAGGGCGGGGTGTAAACGTGGGTTCTGCAGAGAGCCGGTGTGAGCTCCAGGACAGCCCCAGCCCCGTGGGAGCGGGGAGTCCTGAGGCGAGACTCGAGGTGGCGCCATACACATGCACTCAGTCTGCCCCTGCGCTGCTCTCTTCGCCTGATCATTTCACCGCGTCCTTAACCGGCTCTTTCAGGATTCGGGTTGATCTCTTTTCCCAGAGAAGCCTATGAAAGGGGAGTTAGTGGGACAAATTGCAGTCCCATTGCCACAGGGGGCTCTGTCTGATGGTTCTCACCTCCCTCCTTTGTTACCCCGTGCGGATCGTGTGGATCGCTCTCAGCCTCAGGCTGCACCTCTGTTGGCTGCGGGAAAGACAGCGCGAAAGTCCGAGCCCCGTCACCATGGCCTTGTTGGGCTGTGGCTGTCGCTCTCGCCAGTTTACCCTTACCACTGCATGGCGGAGTTGCAGGGATGCCGGGAGCCGGGGGACGGGATTCTGTATTCTCCCTGATCCCTGCAGCCGGCCTTCTCCTGAATATAAGGAGATTTACTCTGCCAGGAAAGCAAATTTTCTCTCCTCTCCTCTCCTCTCCTCTCCTCTCCTCTCCTCTCCTCTCCCCTCCCCT